CAGGCTGGTCTGAAATGCCCGACTTCAACTGATCCTCCCACCTCAGCCTCCCAAGTAGCTGGGACTACAGGCACGAGCCACCACATCAGCTAAAGGTTATTTGTTAAGTTTAATTAAAAGACACTTATTTGTTCAATTTCTCTTACTGGTCCAAGTTTTCCCTTCTGGGATTTCATAAAAAATTCAATCTCTTCTTCCTATAAACTCTTCAAGCAGTGATTCCCAAACTTGTCTGCACATTAGAATCATCTAGGGGATCTTTAAAAAATTTTAGGCTACACTCCAGACTAATTAAATCGCAATACTCAGGAGTGGAACACAGGCATCAGTATTTGAAGCTGCCCAAGTGTTTTCAATGAGTAGACTCATTTAGAAATCACTGTCTTTAAGTATTTAAAAAGATATATGTCCCTTTTTAATAACTGTTTCCTCCAACAATTTTTAATATGAAATAATTTTCTGTCCCTATTCTACAAATATATATTGAGTGCCTATGGTTAGCCAAACACTGAAGAAACAGTGGTGAATAAAACATTCTGTGCCCTGGTGGAATTTAAAACTATTGGGACTATTCCAATCCCTCATTACTGTTAACTCCATGTCCCATCTACCCACACTGCTATCACCTTCTCTATCTCTGTCGTCATTGCCCCAATCAACTACACTCAAATCAACCCCTTTACTTCTTTAATAGCACCCGTTCCCACTGACATACCATATGTCAACTCCACAAAGGCAGGGACTTTCCTGTTTTGTTCATGCCTATCCCAGGACCCCGAACGATGCCTGGCATGCAGAAAGCACTTAGAACTTGATTAATAAATTACTTAAGTAATCGTCACCTGTTAGACTTAGTCTCCAACTCCTGCAGGTTTTCCATAACGTGTCACATTTACCTCTCATCCCCACTGCCATCATCATCGCACTTGGATTACTTCAAAACACTCCTAATTCAACTTCCGGCCTCACGACATCTTAGCCTGCACACCCGTTTTTCTACACCACATTCATCCTTACTCCGTCGAACACCGAGCACAGGAGTGGAAAGTGGAGTTTTCCCAGCTGTGCTCTCTTCCCAGTTACGCCTGAAAATGCACTGGGGTGGGAATGAAGCTGTGGTGTTGTCAAAAAGCCTTTTGGGGTAGTTCCCAACCAAAGCAGCAGCCCACCACACCCCCCTTTTCCAGTCCGCGAAGTCCACGTGCGTGCGAATTTGGGGGTGGGGCTGGGCTTGGGAGTAGGTGCGGTGAAGAGGCGCGGCCCCTGACTGCCCAGGCCCAGAGATCCGGACCCTCCGAGCCGAGCTCTAGTCACGACAATCGGGCCAAAGCCGGCCTCCCCGCAGCAAGTCTGACTAGGCTGGCCGAGGCCCAGTGTTCCCGGTCCAGGGTCCCCAGGCGGGGCTGACCCGGCATGCCGTGAAGAAGCCGCTCCCGCTCTCTCCCAGCCACCAGGCCTCACCTTGTCTGGCGTCTCTTTGGCCACGCCGCAGCGGACCCAGGCCACGCATGTCACCTGGCGGCTGCGGTTCATGCTTCTCGGCTCAAGGACCTGTCAGGCTACAGACCCGGCCGCAGCGAGAGAGGCCGCAGCCACTCGGTAGCCGGCACGCTCGGGACTCTGCACGGGGCCGCCGCCAGGGCGGGGCGCAGGCGCGGGCGCTTGCTGCTGCAGTGTCGGCGCCCACTTATGACGTCACTCGGCGGCGCCGAATGGGAAAGAGGTGGAGAAACGAATGAAGCGGAAGCAGCGGGGCGAGGAGTCCACGTGGGGTGGACCGTGCTGGGTCAAGTGCCATGAAAACGTTTTTCAGGATCATTTGTAATGGTGTCTGCTGGAGGCACAGAAACTATTTGATACTGTAGGGGTTAGTGAGAGGCAAAGTTCCACCTTTATTTTGCTTGCAGTTCCATAGACTTAAAGCTGACAAATGGTAAAGTTTTGTGGGTTTGTGGGTTTTTTTTTTTTAAAGATTTCTCCAAAATGAACTTGTCATTTCAAGGGAATTCCACCATTATATTTCATTACTTTTTTTTTTTTTTTGAGACAGGGTCTCACTCTGTTGCCCAGCCTAGAGTGCAGTGGCCTCATCAGAGCTCAGTGCAAGCCTCAAACTCCTAGGTTCAAGAGCTCCTCCTGCCTCAGCCTTCCAAGTAGCTGGGACTACAGGCATGCGCCACCGCACCTGACCTGCGTTCTTGAATGTTACTTGCTCACCTTAAAACATTTCTCACCTACTTTCTCACCTGTTATTTATTAAGTATGCAGTAGTGATTGTAGCATAGGCAAACACAAAGTGCTTGTTAGGTTGAAGGCACCATTTTAAGTGCCTTATACTGACGTGGTTACTTCTTGACCCTATGTGGGAGGTCTTATTTCCATTTTACACATGGGGAAATGATGATCTTTCCCAAGGTCACACTGCTAGTAAGTGGTGTAGCTAGGATATGAACCCAGACAATGTGAATCCAATACCTGGCTACTATGTCATGCTTCGTAGCTAAGGTCAGAGTCACCTATTGGAAAATGCCAGTGGCTGGAGGACTTTAGAATAGAAAGTCTTAACCTAGCATCCCAGAAAGATCTGGATTTTGATCTTTCTTGGCTTCTTGGCTGTGTGACCCTGTCTGGGTTATTTGCCCTCTCTGATCTTCAACATGCCCACTTCTGAGACAGGCAAACAAAAGGAACAGGAGAGTGACCACCATGGAGAAAAAGTGGTGGCAAAGGTGAGTCTTCCACAGTTGCATTGTCAAAAGGGAGGAGTCCACTGTGGGGTCAATTTGGGGACATTTTTGCAACAAATTTATTTTTACATACAATATTTTACTTGGTTCTCACAACAACACTGATGAAATATGATCAAGAATTACCTTTATTTTAAAGATGAAGTTAGAGGTTCCAGTGGTTAAATACCTTACTACCCTGAGATCACACACATGGTTAGGAGCTGATAGAACTACAGGAAGTTCTTTTTTTTTTTTTTAATTTTAACTTTTGTCTTTGCAATTGCTTTGTCATAATACAGGTAGTTCTATTACCAACTCTACACTAAGCCTAATACCCTTGGCCTTCTACCAGCTTGAGGAGAGATCCTTTCAGGAGTAAATTGCTCATTGTTGGGTAGGCAGATTATGTGTTCACTAAGGCCTCTTCCAGTGCTCTGTTTCTCTAAACTGACTCTTCAGTGTTTTATTTCCTTTTGGCCCATTTAGAAAAATGGTAGGTGGAACCCATTCTACTAAGCGAAGTATCCCAAGAATGGAAAAACAAGCACCACATGTACTTACCAGCAAAATTGGTATTAACTGGTCAATACTTA